AAAGATCGTTTACAGACCCCTGAAACGCCGGCTTCGTGTGGATGAGAGGCTTGTTTTGTGAAAAATTTGTGCGTTTAGGCCAGGGTTTGACTTCGTGTGGACGGGGCCTTATTCCAAGCTTGCAGAGTCTGGCTAAAAGTAGTTGGTGGTTGACAGAGTCAAATGCCTTAGACAAATCCACGAAAAGGGCGGCACAATGATGTTTTTTTTGTCTAAGGCATTTATTAAATCATTTAAAACAGACACAGCAGCTGTTATGGTACTGTGACCTGCTCTGAAGCCTGACTGAGTTTCACACAGGAGGTTGTTGACTGTAAGGAACTGTTTTAGTTAGGAGTTGACTTGAGATTCAAGAATTTTAGCAAGTACTGACAGGTTTGATATTGGTCTATAGGTATCCAGGTCTGTTGGCTCCCCTCCTTTTAGTAGAGGTAAAACGTAAGCAGCTTTCCAAATTTTTGGAATACAGTTTAATTGTATACTTAGATTAAAAATGTGAGCAATAGGCTCTGCAATAAACTCTGCCGTGAACTTCAGGAGATAAGGGTCTAATCCATCAGGCCCAGGGGACTTTTTATGGTCTATGGTCATAAGTGCTTTCTTAGTTGCATCAATAGAAATGGGTTGTAGGACAAATTTGGATTGAGGAGTTGCTGATAGGAGAGGATAATCAGTGCTGTCTAAGTTTACAGATACTGGATCAGAAAGAGAGGTAACAGGACCAGAGCTAGTTGAGACAAAGTGTTCATTAAACTGCTTAGCTATATTCTGTTTGTCATGTATAACAACTGAGTCTACTATGATGCTTTCTGGCAGATTAATTCAACAATTTTCTGTTAAAAGCTGTATTACCTATATAACTGCATAGAAGAAGGGCATTATTGTCAAACTTTAGGCATTTAAGGAGTACAGACCTGAAAATACACACAGCCTTTATTCTTAAGGATTTAGAAAATCAAGAATCTTTTTTTTTTTTTACCTTTACAAGTACCAACAAAGTTTGGTTGGTTTTCCACATTAAACAACACTAAAATCTACAAAT